GACAGATATGGGGCTGAAGGAAGCTCGCCATAATTCAGTACTGAAGTCTTGACCTCAAGGCCCTCAAGTCTCAAGAATGTGACTGTGACAGTATTTGTAGAGTGGGTCTTTAAAAGGTAACTGTGGGGACAGTGAGACGGCAAGGAAGGGTGTTCACTGTCAGAATGACGACTTGAGCTCAATCCCTAAAACACATGTGGCAGAAAGAAGAAAAAAAAAAAAAACTCCTCTGACCTCAACACATGTGCCATGGTACACACACACCTATTCATGCCACTAAATAAATTTTTTAAACGTAAAAAGTGTTTTTTTTTAAGAAAAGGAAATGACATTAAGATGAGGTCACAATGCCAAGCACATTGCTACAATCCCAGCACTCAAGAAAGCTGGGGCAGGACGATCACAAGTCGGAAGTCATCCTCAACTATTAACAAGATCCTACTCCGAATAGAAGGAGAATGATGGAGAGGGGAAGGGAAGCAAAGCACTCCTGCACCTAGATAGAGAACTGTCCCATGGATTAGAAAGGGCTTGTAACCACTCAAAGCTGACTGGGCCAGCTTCAAGGTGGTAGTCTTAGAGATGGGGATGATGGGCGGGGGACAAAGCAGAAGGAGGAAGATGACCAACTGCTCACAGTGCAAAAGTGGAGTGGGAATCTAGATGCCCTTCCATGGGGGGGGGGGTCTGGGGATGGCAGCATCATCAGCAAGAGCCTCAAAATCTAAGGAAGAAATGGGTTTGGGTATATCCGGGCTCCAGAGTTCTTGATTTCTTGAAATCAAAGCCATGGGTAAGAACATGAGAGCAGCAGTTGGCAGGGAGAAATAGGGTCGGATAGATAGCTGCAATTGGGAAAAGGCCCTGGAAATTGCCACAGCCAAAGAGCCTAAGGAAACAAGATGACTGTATGTCACGTGGATCCCAGACATGAGCTTGGAACAGGAAAGGGCCATTGGGTAAGGAAATCTGAACAAAATATGTGTTTAGCTTAATAAGAATGTATCAATGCCAATTCACTTGGTAGAGCCGCTGTACTGCACTGATGTAAGATATTAATAACGGGAAACAGTGTGGGTCCTTCTGTGCTCACTTTTCATACATCTAAAACTGTTTGAAATAAAACATGTGCTTAGAAGAAGGGTGTTAGACTTGGAAAGAATTACATTGTACTCAGGAGGCAGAGAAACCTAACTTGGACATGATTTTCTTTTTTGACATGCGAAGAAGCCCTTTTGTTCCCTGGTAAATGTACAATGTGGTGGTTCCCTTGGAGATCTCAGCAAGGGCTGAGCCATCAACTCCCCCAAGGCGGCTGGCTAGGAAGAGCGCATTCCCTCTGGTGCCTCTTTCCCTGCGTGAGTCACACGGTGAATCATGTCTAATGATGCACTGCGCCCGGAGTTTACCCCACCTGGAGGGCATACAAAGGTGGCAGTAATAGCACACCTCACATCCAGCTTCATCCATCTCTGTGACATGCAAGGAAGAGGACCAATCATGTCAGAAAGAACCAACCGCCTGAAAGCTTGGGATGCCTCCTTCTCCATTAGCGGGACAGCTTCTCCCCGAGTCTGACAGAGAGACTCTCTGGAACCCAGGACATTTGCGACAACCATAAGAACACCTCACCGCACGCAAACTTCTAAATGTGCGTGACTTCCACCCCTACATGCCCCCACCCCACCCTGGGACCTCTTAACTATCTGGCCTGTGAAATGGATGGGAAGGCAGGCAATAGAACATGTCAAAAGAACAGGAAAACCTACAGCCCCCCCAGAAGAGTTTGCATGTGAAAAAAAGATCGCAGAGAAGTAGATTCACACAGGAGAAGAGGGAAGATTGGGGAGATCCAAGCCAGAAAGGGGGACTCTACCAAGGTAATCATGTGCCTGCAATCTTGTACTACTATAGCTTTCCAAAAGGAGACCACTGGGTAAAGCAGCAGCCCAATGAGGGCTCTATCATATCTTACAACTGCACGTCAATGGCAATTGTGTCAGCAAAATGTTCAAAGAACAAAAGGGCAGCCATTGTTTAGTCATAAATACCCTGCTCCCCTCTCTGGCCTGCCAAACTCTTCTATCTAATCTCTCTGAACTGAGTTTCTAACCTAACAAATGGAACCATTTGTGGAACCAACTGTTGAGGCAACTGGATCTTGTGTGAAATGCCTGGCCTAAGGCAGGCACTCAATAATGGCAGGAATTCATGCTTCTCCAGCCCTTTGGTTGCTGGAGGCAGCACTTTATCCCAAGTTCTTCCACTAGGCTGGGGAGAGAGCTCAGTGGGTCAAGGCACTTGCTGCTAAGCCTGACAACCTGACTTTGATTCCCAGGACCCTTTCGATGGAAAGAGGGAAGAGATTAAAAAAACAAATAAACAGAAAAACAGCATATCTTAGGGCTGGTCAAATGATATGATAGGTAAAGGCACATGCCATAAGTTCTTCTATCAACTTTGTCCCAAATGCACCTGTCTGCCCCCAAAGTTCTGGGCCAAAGTCTGGGCCACACATTTAACCTGCACTCAAACTTCCCATCTCCTAAGGGTTCTACATGTCAGCAAAGAACACATATGTATAGGCTGAGCTGAGCCACTACTACACACACACACACACACACACACACACACACACACACACACACACCAGGCTTGCTGGAGCAGCTGGCTGCTTGTTTCCTGCCCCCACTCCCTCTGCAGCTGCAGTATAAACAAATCAGCACCTGGAGGCCTGTTTTGGATGTTTTAGCACCAAAATAACTTGGAGGGCAAGGACTGTTCTGACCTCTGGTCTCCAGGGCTCACGCTTTGGCCTTTCCCTCCTGGCTCTCTCAGCCACACTGGTCCAAAGGTCGGGCCTATTAATGTCCACTCTGACTTAGGATGTCCTGGGGTCAAGCAATGCAGGAACCAACAGGATGGTTCTCTCACCAGAAGCTACTAGGCAGAGTCCCAGCCTCCTTGACTGGCAGGGAGTTCCACCCACCAGGAGCCAACCACTGCAGACTGTGCCTGGTCAAAAAGCAGGGGGATGAGACCACGAGGAAGCACAGTGTGGGCTCCCCCAAAACCATGCTATCCCTTTGTCTGAGCACCAATACGGCAGTATGCAATGGTATCTAAGCTCTTTCCCTAGATTGGGAGAAAGAAAAGATAGTCTGTGTCTGCTCCTCTAACCAGCAAGTTTCTACTTACATTATCATTTTCTTAGCTTCAGAAATGAGTCCTCATCTCTGCCAGTACCAGGGGACCTCAAAGTCAGTACACAGGTCCAAGCCTTGCATTGTCTGTGTGGGGCCCCATGCATTGGATGTGGAGGCATAGTTGGGCAAATCCCAAGCATCATGGCACATGCCAGCCTGAAATCCAGATGTTGACACCTTTGTGCACAGAGAACCTCAGTTCTCTATAGCTGCTCTTGGCATCAGAAACCCAGTCCCAGGAGTATACCCTGTGAAGGTTAACCTTTATTGTCAACTTGAGGGACTTTTAGAATCACCTAGGAAACACCTCTGATATCTCTATGAAGGCATCTCTAAGGACATGGGATTTATCCTGGAAAAAAAAAAAAAAAAAAGGAGGGAGAGAACACAAGCTGAGCACCGGTGTTCATCTCTCTTGATCACAGATGCAATAGGACCAGCTTCCTCATGCTCTCCAAATCACAATGAACTCTCTATCTCCTCACACTACAAGCCAAAATAAAGCCTTCCTCCCTTCCGTTATATCTGTCAGGTATTGTGTCAGAACGATAGAAAAGCAATTAGTTACACACACACACACACACACACACACACATTGCTATTAGTGAATAGGCTGAACCGTACAGAAATCTCCAGACTCCTCTTCTCTACTTCCTAAACATAGATGAGAGCCACACATCCATCCTATCTCCCCCTAACCCGGATACACACAGCACCCCCATGGCTTCCAAGAGAATTGTTTGGTACAACACAGGTTGTTGGATACCACAGTCAGGCATAACCTTCTGATTGGAAGGGCCTGGAAGAGCCCCTGTTGTGCCTTGTCCTCCATCTCTGACCCCAAGCATTTCCCGTTTCCCCTCTCTGTAATAACAGTATGATCATGAGGTCCATCTGTCTTGATAAACCCTTTTCCCCAGGCCTGGGCTCTGCCCACTGCTGGCCATGAGATGTTGGTCACCAAGCCAAAGCTGGGTTAGATTCTCCTTCCCCAGAAGTGCAATCCAGGACCCAGACAGCAGAGGCTGGGTGCTGAGATGGCCTGGGGGACTGCAGCCCCAGCTTCTTTGCTGAGCTCCCAGGACAGCTTTTGCCACACTGGGGCATGAGAGCTCAGGTTCTTCCTCAGTTTGGTCCAGTTTTCTGGACACTCCAGGGGCCTTCTTTTCTATTCTGCCCCCTTTTATTAACCAAGTCTGGTTTGGTTGTTTCCATCCAGTAGAAACTTGACCAGCAACGGAAAAGTTCAAGCAGGGACTGGACCCCAAAGTGGAATCATAAGGGTATTTTTGTCTATACTTGATTTCTGCTCTTTTGTCTATACTATTTTGTCTATACTTTTTCCTAGACTATACTTTTTTCTAGACTATTTTGTCTTTACTTTTTTCTAGACTATACTTTTCCTAGGCTATACTTTTTTCTAGACTATACTTTTTTTCTAGACTATACTTTTTTCCAGACTATACTTTTGTCTAGACTATTTTGTCTATACTTGTTTTCTGCTCCCTGAGGAGCCTCAAAAGGGGCTCTGAAGTCAGGATTAGTGAGAAAACCAAACTTACTCATCACTCTATATGTGTCCAGAGAAACAGGGCTCGAAAGCCCTGGACACCCCAAAGTTCCACTGGAAGGACATAGTGGCACTGAGCCACTCTGTGAAAGGCTGTCTTTTCTTCTAGATGCTGCCCCTCACTCCCAAGCTCCAGAGACCCTAAAGGCATTGGTTTCTTTGTCACTGACAACAGCCCAGTGCCCCAGTCAACCAGCCTGACTCGTGATCAGAGGGTCCACAGACTTTATTCTGGGAGAACACGCATGCTTTCATGTCTAGTGTAACTCTGAAAGGTTACTGGGGACTTCGCTCAAGACACCCAGCTCTATAAGCCATTCCCAGGCATCTAGGCTAACTCTTCACTCATCCTGGCCCGCCTCCTCATCTTTCTTCTTTTCTGTGTTTTCTCCAACATCTTTCAGGTTTTGGCGAGCAAACTCCTCAAAAACCAGGTTTTCATCCTGAACACTATAAGAAAACAGACAACGTGTTAGTCTGTGCTTACTCTCTGAAGCTGAAGATAAAATTCTGAATGAAGCAAGACCACTGATCTTTCTGCAATAAAGGAACAAATTCAAGATGAATGTGTTTCCCAGGACAGAACATGGACCGCGTCACTCCCAGGATGGGACAAGGACCATGTCATTCCCAGGATTAACAAGGACCATGTCAACCCCAGGATAGGACAGAGACCATGTCACCCCCACAATGGGATAGGGACCATGTCATCCCCAGGATGGATGGGGACCATGTCATTCTCAGGATAAAACAGGGATGATGTCATCCCTGGGATAGAACAGGGACCATGTCATCCCCAGGATAGAACAGGGACCATATCATCCCTAGGATTAACAAGGACCATGTCATTTCCAGGATGGGACAGGGACCATGTCATTCCCAGGATGGATGGGGACCATGTCATTCTCAGGATAGAACAGGGATGATGTCATCCCCAGGATAGAACAGGGACCATGTCATCCCCAGGATTAACAAGGACCATGTCATTTCCAGGATGGGACAGGGATCATGCCTTTTTCTTCAGGGATTTTAGGCTTTTGTTTTATTTTTGTGACAGAGTCCCACTCTATAGACCAGGCTGGCCTTGAACTTGAAGTGATCTCCTGCCTCAGCCTCCCAGGTTCCTGGCTTGAAGGTAATCATCACCCCTAGCTAAGACTGTGCTTTAAAAGCTCTTTAACAAACACAAGCAAGAGGAAAAGTGTGAGAACCTACAGAACGAAAGACAGCATAGCTATGTGAGCACACATCTGAAGCTCTCACAAGCAGGACACAGGGACTCTGCACAGACATTCTGAGAGGGATTTGTGGGGAACAGGGAGTCACAGAACACAGGAAAACTCAGAGCAACATTCAAATTGCTTACCTCTCCTTTGCTGTAGGACAAGAACAAAGGGGAGGAGGAAGAGGGGAGAAAGAGAGAGAGAGAGAGATGAAGATCAGTTATTATTTTTAATGAGGCTTTATGTATCCTGGGTTAATCTCAAACTCATGATATGGCTGAGGATGAACTTGAACTTCCAGTCTCCCAGCCCTTTTTCAACTTTTTCTTCTTTTTCAAAGATGGGTTCCCACTAAGTTGCTAGGCTAACTGAGCTAACATTGCTCCTGTTTGACCCCTTGATGGCTGAAATGACAAACCTGTGCCACCATGACTCTTTCTCAAAATAATAAAAGAAGGCACTTGCCTGGACCTTCTAGGCCTTAGATTCAACCCTCATCACAATAAAATTTTAAAATAAAATAAAACTTCTCCTGGCATGAGATACCCTAGAATTTTATTCTGTTGAATAAAGGAATCTTGAGGCTGGATAGGTAGACCACAAGGACAGCAACCCTGACATTAGGGTTTTGAGCCATCTCTCCAGTCCCAACTCTCTGAAATCTTAAGCACAAAAGATCATTGTTTCATCCTAAAATTATGAGTTGGCTAATGTAAGGTCTATAATGACCAGACTGTAAAAATACTCTAAGCGAAGGAAGACTAACTCCACTTCTTCCAAAGTAAGTCACCTATGCTGAAAGTTCCAGAAAATAGCCAGGTGGTGGTACCTACCTTTAATGCCAGCACTTAGAAAGCAGAGGCAGGAGGATCTCTGTGAGTTCAAGGCCAGCCTGATTTACAGAGTGAATTCCAGGACTGCTAGGGTTACACAGAGAAACCCTGTCTCACAAAAACAAAACAAAAAAGAAAATTCGATCCAGAAAACTACCCAGCATAACTGTGGCATCAGGAGACTGTATTTTCAATATTTTTGAAGGGAACCAGGACACCATTTAAAAAAAAAGGAGGGGGTTCTTTTGGCACCTGGGGATAAGGCTCAATATTAGAACGCCTGCCTAACATGTATGAGATGTTGAGTTCATCCCTAGGAGGAAAAAAAGAGAAAAAGGAGGAGGAAAGAAAAATGAAGAGAAGGAGGGAAGAAAGGAGGGAGGGAAGAAGCAAGGAAGGGAAAAAGTATCGAGGAGCACATTTCCAAGACTTCTTGAATCTATGTTTTCCTGGACTGCCATCCTGATTAGTCTCAAATAAATGTTTAAAATAGCATTTTAATGAGACAAATATAAATGAACAAAAATGTAAGACTTAGACTGTATTTCCCCTCAGTGGGAAGGTTTTGGCAAAATGTACTGAGGGCTTAAGTCTAAAATATTTGGCAAAGACACTTTGAGACATTGTTTTTTAACTGTCTTGTCATTATAGTCTAGGCTGGCCTCAGACTTGTGATCCTCCTGCCTCAGCCTCCTGAGCACTGGGATGGCAGGCATACACCAGTGCACCTACCTCCATTGAACTTTTCGTCTCAGAACCTCCTAGCTCGAGCTCATACGTCATCCCATTCACATCTTTGCAGGGACAGTGGGAGGGTCTCAGTGTGTTCACACATGTGTGCAGCGATTGCTTCACTTAGCATCCGCACAAAAGTGTCAGTGGATGGATCGTCAAATGAACGGGGATGGTGGGAACCCAGGCAGACCTTTTCTAGTATTTTCTGTAATCTCATCACTGCCACTGCTGTCAAAAATATGTATCACCTTCTAAATGCGTATTGACACTTCCAAATGAGGGGCCTTTCGTTTCTACATAAAGCAATGCCTTGGGTTCTTCAGAGGGTTTGTCCCTTACATCATCTCTAAATCTAAATCAAGGTCTGGGGACAGCAGGACTGCTGCAGTGACATTGTTCCTGAGAAAACTGAGGCCACTCATACCCAACAGAGACTAGAAATGAGTAGGAAAGCTACACCCTCTACACACACAGACAGGCGGTGGACAGGCCCAGGAATCAGTATGTGAGCTAGTTCTCCCTTCCAGGCTGACCTGGTTACCCTATGGAGGACACCCATGCACTGAGGGGTACACAAGGAACACCAGAGATACATAAATGTGCAGTAAGTCTGCCCGTGATGAATGAACGGGTAAGAGGTGTCTCGGACAATGATGACTGACCTGAGTCCTCGGGCTGTGGGTGCATGAGGCGAAATGGCACTTCAGTGGCCACCTCACTAAAAAAGGAAGAGTACAGGCTGGTGAGTGCACACACAGGCAGACACACACACACACACACACACACACACAGAGTTACAGATGGCACAACACAAAATCGGGGCCTCAGAGATTCTCCAGAAGATTCATTCAGTGACATTCGAAACAAAACAGCCTTCAGGAAGTGGTCAGGCAGGAATTTGAAATATATTTCCTGGAATGTGGAATGAGGAACTTCACTCAGGCGTGGTTGGGGGCCCCTGCTAGTGTTTTTAGTCCCCTGTATCCTAACTGGTGATGTAACACTTGGGAAGAGAAGAGATGAAACCCTACAGGAAGGTCAATTATAAAAACCATTCCTGGGGCTGGAGAGATGGCTCAGGGGCTAGGAACACCTGCTGCTGGATTCAGTTCCCAGCCCCCACATCAGGCAGTTCACAACTGTCTTGTACTGGGGATCCAGCACCCACTTCTGGACTTCACAGATAAATGCCCTCATGTTCACACATCTAAAGATAAATGAAATCTTAAAAAAAAAAAAACTATTCAGTGCAGCAAGACACATTTGAAAACATTTTAAGTTTTTATATGAGGGTTTGGAGAGACGGCTCGGCAATTAAGAGCATGGACTGGTCTTCCAGCATGGACTGGTCTTCCAGAGGTCATGGCTTTGATTCCCAGTGCCCCCAAGGAGCTGCCGCTGTGGGTGTCAGTGGTCACAGCCTCCACTTGCAGCCCTGGCCCTTCGGGAACAGGCAGAGGCTGCAAGTGGCTGAGGGACCTGACGTGGTCCTCATCACCGGTGATTCCTTTGCTGAAGACTAATGTCCCACCAGGAAGTCACAGAGCAAAAGTTCCTTTCACTAACTTCATGAAAGCACAGGGCACCTCCTTTTTGTGATGACGCAAACGGCCCCATCTGTCGTCCGTCGCACGAGGCAAGATGGCGCGGCCTCTTTACTCACTTAACAGGATCTTGGAGCAATTTTAAGGGTCTGAATTCAAATTATACTATACGGATGCATCTTATGGAGGAGCATGGCTATCAGACAGAAAGGTCTGGAAAGCTAGACTCTGACTTCAGGACATCATCCTGGGAAGTAATAATTAACACAGACAATTAACCCACCTCTGCTGGAACGTGTACAGTTCTCTTTTACACTTTTCCTCAAGGCTGAAAACAAATCCCATAATCCCTCAGAATCATAATAATATTTAAAAATTCTCTCTGAGGCCGGTACAAGGGTGGGCACACCCACCTCTTGCCAAAGAGAGGAGCAGGGCCCACCACATTGCTAATACTGAAATGTTTTGGGGAACATTAGAGTATATTTGAGAAGAAGGGATTCCCCAAAGGGAAATCCAGAGAAATCAGGAAGGGATGTGGAGAGAGGGGATGAGAAGCATCCCGGGACTCCTGAGGCCTACCCAGCACTGACCCTGGCCCGGGCCAGGCCTAGATGACATCTGAAGGTGGGCAGAAAATGGCAATTGAGGACAAAAGATAGCCCAGAATGATTCAACTCCAGGCCTGCAACGTTCCAGCTCTCCACATCACAGAGATTCTAATCAGTCAGTCTGCCCCATAGCCCAGCCGTGGAAGTAGACAAGAGCTGAGGCAAAGAACCATGTCAGGTGAATGCTTGTCTCAGACATGGCTAAACCTGTTCTTTGTTCATGGCTCAGAAGACATCTGTCACCATTAGTGTTTGTCAAGAGGTAGAAACAACTCATGTTGCCTGCAGAAAAGTGACATTTCCGGGGGGAGAGGGGAAGCCACATTTTTTTTTTGTTAAAAATTCTGCAAGGCCAAATGATTGTTTAGAAATCTCATGACCGTGGGGGAGTAGAAACATTGCAGCTTTCAGGACAAATTTATCATGGTCTATCTTAGTCCTTAATAGCCATTCATTGTCTACCCCTGTGTTTGATCTGACATCCTGTGACTTTTGGGGGATGTACAAATAGACCCCTAACTTCCACCAGCCCCAAATCTAAGGATGCCACCAGGATAGCACCGGAGGCCTATAGCAGAGATTTTCCCACCTCACTATAACCTGCCCGACTGATGTTCCCACCAATGTAGTTTTTAAAATACCTTGATTTATGATTTTCTTTGTTCTTTTGCTACTGAAAAAAAATCTTTGTAACACTGTCACCGTGTTAGAATGTGGTATCTGGAGACCCCAACCTGTGTTCCCGGTTCAGCATCACTCATACTGAGTTCCAGAGTAAACACGCTCTCGTTCTCTCTGAGGTGCAAGCTATACCTTTACCTATACAAATACCACCAGCAGGAGAATAAACAAAATGTGGTATAGCCACACAATGGAATATTACCAAGTCAGGAAAAGTGGTGTACAGTAGTAGATGCTACAACACAATTAAGTCTTGAAAACATATGAAGTAAAGAAGCCAATCACAAAGGCCACATATAGAATTTTTTTTTGAGACATGGAGCCCAGGTTGGCCTAGAAATCAGCTATATAGCTGAGAGAGACCATGCCTCTACTTCTTCTCCATGTCGAGATTACAGGTATATAACATCATTCTCAGGTTTATATAGGGCTGGGAACTGAACCCAGGGCAAATGCTTGGCCAACTGAGCCACATCCCCAGCCCCAGCAGAGGGGAGTCTATAGAGACAGAAAGCAACCCCTGGTTGCCAGGGTCTGTGTGGGAGGGAAAAGGAGCGATGGCTTAATAAGCACTAGGTTTTTTTTACAGATATTAAAAGTGGTTTAGAAAAAAACCTAGTGGTGATTGTTATATGATACTGTAAATACATATATATTATTAAAATATATATAAATACATAGCATATGTTTAAAAATGATTAAAGTGATAAAATTTATCCTATGTGGCTTGCACTCACCCATCCTACACACACACAAATGACCATTGGCTGGAGTACGTTAGTTTTCTGAGGTGTGTGTGTGTGTGTGTGTGTGTGTACATGCCCACGTGCAGGCCTACTTACGATCTCCAGTTTCTTGACTGCTGGGAGACACCTCTTACAACATATCCAAGTCAGCATGCATCATGTACAGCATTTTTTAAGAACCACTTCCCAGAAACTAGTTTTTTACCAGTTTCTGTTTGTCCACAAGCTCCTTTTCCTCAGTTCACTGGGAGCTGAGTAGAGGAAGGAGGCAATGAGGCTTACCTGGATGTGAGTTCTCCTAGAAAGCTGGAAAGCACAAAGCAAACAGCCACAGTAAGTCCCCAGATGTGATAGGACATCAGGTCCCAGGGTTCAAAGGCAGGACAGGCCCCACCCAACCTGAAGCTCTCACCCCCCAGCAGATTCCAGGCTCCTAGCATCTCCCAGCTCCCATCTTCAGTGCAACTTGCTGAGGGCTTCCCTCTTTCTCCAAAGAATTACTTTAAAAATTTATGCTCACTGAGAATGAGCATAAGGCACAGAACCAGGAATTTTCAGCCATCATGTGGGGGCGGGGCACACCTGAGGCCTCAGTCCTCATAAGAGGTAGAGGCAGAAGCAGAGGCAGAGGGACTGCAAGTGAGACCCTTTCTCTAGGTTCTATATTGAGGATCATTCTTAAAAAAATAAATAAAAATTCTAAGAAAAAGCCAGGCAGTGGTGGTGCACACCTTTAATCCCATTGGGATAAGCCTGATCTACAGAGTGAGTTCCAGGACAGGCTCCAAAGCTACATAGAGAAACCCTGTCTCAGAAAACTGAGAGAGAGAGAGAGAGAGAGAGAGAGAGAGAGAGAGAGAGAGAGAATTCTCAGCCACAGAGGCCACTGCAATGCACAATTACAGCTGTCCCTGTCCCTCAGTATCTGCGAGAGACTGGTGTCAGGGTTGCTTGCGGGAGTGTTCCCTGTCTCTTCAGAAGATGGTACCAGATTTGCACATGACCATTACACCTTGTTCCCTGGACTTTGAACCATCCCTGCTTTGCTTCTGATGCCTAAGAGATAGTAGACTTTGGTTTAGGGAATAAACAAGGTGAAAGGCCTTCGTGCCCAATACATGAAACATTTTGCTGCTGTTATTTGTTTTGAGACAGGGTCTCTTGACATAGCCCTGGCTGGCCTTGAATTTCTGAACTTCCTATCTCGAGCTTGCGAAGCTGAATTATGGGCTTGTGATACCATGTCCAGTTTATCCAGATCAAAGTCAGAGCTGTGCCTGTTAGGCAATCACTCTGCCAACTGAGCTGCACCTCCAGCCCCAATTTATAAAACAAAAACAAAGTTAGAGTCTCACTATGTATCCCAGGCTGACCATGCTTCTTAATCCTGCCTCAGCCTCCCAGGATGGCTCATGCCACACACTGACCCCAAATAAAGATTTACAGAGAGTTCTTTAGACAGCTGTGAGTCTTCCTGAAATTTGAAAATTAAACTGATGTCATTCTTTTCTTTTTTTTTTTTTTTTAACCAAGCAAGGCAATTTACGGTCATTCCTGCCCGTCAGCTTCCACTGTGTGTGCCGATGCGCATCCACTTCTGCTCAGTGGTACTGAGAGTAAATGCATTTCAGTTTGTTTTTCCAGTATATGTCGCCGCCAACAAAACTGCAGAGGCTGACAAACATGAACCACGCAGGACTCTGTATAGGCATCAGCAGGCGCCTCGGGCTTCCTTTGCTATATACCTGCCGGTCATTCCGGAGAAAAACAGGCCAGGCGGAGATGGAGCACCCAACACTTACCCTGACACTGTGAGCTTCACCTTGATTTGGTATGACACCAGGATACCCATGACTGTCCGATCGATGCCCTCCTTGATGCTACCCAATCAAAAAGAAGGAAAAGGATTACCAGAGCAGAGCCAGTGTGGGAAGCATCACTCTCCTGCCAGAGCCACCATTCTGAAGATGTTGTCTTGGAACTGGAGAATTTTAGAGATTGGCCACTTGTCTTTATACACTTGTGTGGCTGGGGAGTGGGTCTTCTGCATCTTTTCCCTATGGCGTTCACACACATGCACACAGGCACACACACACACACGGCATAGCACCTGTTCTCCTTCTCAAGGCTCAGCTTCTGACCTCCTGCTTCCTCCCTCTCCCTGCCCTGCCCACTGTTCCATAGCTGCTGAGTCCTCCCCTGAAGCCCGAGAGATCAGTCCATCCAGGTTCCAGATTCTGTAAGCAATCTGTGAGGTGCCTTTGCCACATCCTACTCAGCTATGCCCTGGTGTCCCTACGCACCAACCTTGCCAACTCCAAACCTGCCCAGAAGGCCCTTCTCCTTTTCTCCTGTACCCTAATACCTCCAGCTATAAAGCCTTCCTGGACACAGTCAGGTAGCACTGCCCCCCCCCCCCGTCCTGTGTTCTGCTCATGTACAGACACAGGGACACTCTCCCACTCTCCTATAACTTGATGACAAGATCATGATTGCTCCAGATGGCACCTGAAAGCTCTGTGTGCCCAGCAGCCAGCATGGCAGCAGACAGCAAGGGAAAGTTCACTTGAGTGGATGAACAAGTGTGAGATGTGACCAGAGAGAAAGAGAAGGGTGACTCCAGGCTCTATGAGCGTGTATGGAAGTCCTACCCTCAATCAAGTCCCCACTGGGCATTTGGTCACAGTTTATTACCTCCTATGACCCAACATGGAAGACTTCACATTCTATGATGTCTGACAACAGGAATTATGAGTTGAAAATTCACCATGAAATCTCGCTGAGCTGCTATGAACCACAACAAAATCTCAGCGGAGAACCCTGAAGGCAGGAGGCAGAGGGGAGTTATGTTGGCAGGCCTGGGGTCTGGGGCCAGTCCCAGAGGCCATCTGCTGGGTCGTGTGCTCTAGGACCACAACGCTCCCCAAAGAGCATCACTGTCTGGTGGAAGGACAGAGGCACAAACTGAGACCACATTCTTGATAGGATTGGCTCGTAAGACCTGTGCCATATGGAAGGCCCAACATGGGAAACAGAACATGCCTGGGACTGCAAGGGCCGCTCCTCCTGAGCGGGAACACCAGTGCAGAGCAGACTCAATCAACAGTAAACTCATCCAGTGACCCTCTACAAGTTTCTCATCCTGGTTCTACTGAGAGATAACCGCCTATTGTATAAAAGGTAAGCTCAGGTACAGCTTCTTCACGAAGGTGTGGAGAGGTGTGTTTGGAAACCACCCCATACCCTGTAAAAGACTGACTTTGCAGAAGTGCGTGCCATTGGCATTAGATCACTGCTCCCCTCAATTGATCTAGGGCATCAGTTTTCTTTCCCTGGACTTTCATGAACACACTTTAGAATCTAACATAGACAGCTGGCAAAATATCCTCGGACAATTCCTCAATTCCCACCCTCATTCTGGCAAATGTTCACGGTCCACACTACTGGCCTCACAGAACGTGAGCTACAAATTCATATGAGTCAGGACACTTCCTCTTTCTTAGGGCATCACCTCTGAGGGGGGCCTAGTAGAGCCAGGAGGGAGCCCCCAGCACATCCTATGGGTGAGGGAAGTGAGAAGGTCTCAAGCCTAGATCTCGGTTCCTGCCTCACACCTTCAACATTCAGCAGCCAACAGTATCCCAGCAAATCAAGCCTAGGAGGACAGCTAGCAGCTAGCTTCACCATGAGCCCCCCCCCCCCCAGATCTTTTGCCTAAATCCAGCTAGGGGTTCTCCAAGACAGAGTAGGCAGGTTAGCTCTTCTTTTCATGAAAATCTGGTGTCTCTCAGTAACCAGTAGGCCTTCCAGTCTTTCCAGAGGGAAATAAATGAATAAAAGTAGCCAAATGCAGTAACTCAGATAATATGTTCAGGGTACCACATGGGCCAGCAATTCTTTAGGATGTAACTGACATTTCCAGGACACTCTGAGTGTCAGGCACCACACTTTACATACACTGTCCCAATTAGTCTGCAATCACCGGTATGTGAGATGGGCACTGTGATTACTCCCATTTTACAGACAGGAAAACTGAGGTTCTCAGAGAGCTCAAGGAACTTGACCATGGCCACCCAGAGGGCAGGCAGCGGCTATGTGGTTGGGGTCAGGCTAATGTGCCCACCTGTGACCCCTGGGACAGCCCAGTTCCAGCCTGCACTGATGGCCCGTTCACATCATCTACAGGACTCACATGGTGCTGGAGGCCAGGTTTGTGTCCTCGTGTTTGATCTTCCCATCCAGCGCAATGCCTCTTCTCTCTCTGTTGTTAGCCAGCAGGGGCACCAGCACCAGTGTCTTGGTCAAAGTGCTGTTTGGCCCCACTTTTTCTCTTGAAAAAAAAAAAAACATAAAGAGGTTATGAGTGCCGTGGCCACCATCAACACCTCAAGATCCTACCTGCCATGAACATTTTCGGAGAAGCCCCTTACAAGGTAAAGGGAATCTCTGTGAATTCAAGGCCATCCCGGTTCTACATAGCTAGCTCTGGGTCAGATAGAGAAAGAGATCCTGTCTCAAACAAAACAAAACAAACAAGACCAACTAGCCTAAATGTCCGAGACTCTAGCCAGTCTGCTGTGGAGACTTCCTGAAGCCCACAGTGAGCAGCAGAGCCTTTGGGTTAGTGTCCACAGAAAAGCTCATGCAGGACCACTGTAGCCAAAAACAGTCCACAGATGGACAGCCAGTGGGTGACTGATAGTGGGCCTGAAACCCAGGCAGATCGTGCTGCTGTCTGTTCAAAGCAGCATGCCTCTTTCTTTACTGCGGCTTCTTCAGAGGCCTGGGGGTTTCCCACATCTAATAAATAGAAGGAACCCTGGACCAAGGGACAATTCCGGGACTCGGTTGGGGACACAGCACTCCTGGGGGTCCCAGAGTGGTGTCTGGGCTGGATATTTATTCTCCAGTACACATACTAAGCACCAGGCCTGGGTTGAAGGCAGAAGGTGAGGGGGGAGGGGCTGCAAACGTTGGCTGGAAGCCCGCATCAGGACCACTTCCTGAATGGGTTCCCAGCCATCCCACGGGAAGGACTTCCCTGTTTGTTCCCCGTGAGGAATCTAAAGCAGCTCCGGCTTCTCCTGTCTCTGGTGAGTACAGGAAGCCCTTTGCAATGTTTTGCTTGATCTAGGGGTGGCCACATTCTCCCACCTGGGTCATAGTGGACTCTCTCTCCAGCCTGATTGTCATGGAATGGGCTCCTGGGGCTAGAATGATACAGCCTTTACTGTAGTAGGATTTGCTGAAGGACTATGCCAGGCCCACAGCTGTGCCCAGGGCCATTAGGATCCCAGACTGCATTGTCAGCAGTGTCTTTGAAGTCAGGTTTGACCTGGTTTGAGGATGCCTGCCCACCAGAGTCCTGGGGGCTGGGTGTGTCTGGAAGAGTGGCTAAGGTGCTACAGCCTTCTGAGTGGTCTCCAGGTTGAGACCAGTGTGAGGATTAGTCTTAGTGGGGTTTTCTTGAGAAGGACCTAGGAGATTTGGAAAGAACAACCCCGGATGTGTCTGTGAGAACCTAACCCGGAGGGGAAGATCGCTGTGAATACAAATGCCACCATCTCATGGGCCGGAAGCCTGGCCGTGAGCAGAGAGGGAGAGAAGAGAGAAACCCTGCTAGTGCACGCATTCGCTCTGCTTCCTGAGCTGTTCTGTTCTGCCTCCCTCCCCCTGCTGTGATAGACAGAAACTGAGAATGGAAACAGGTATTCCCTCGGACAGGTTGTTTCCTGGGTATTTGCCTCAACAGTGAAAAAGCTAAGTGATCCGGCCCCCATTTCTAGACCCCTCCTGCCCTCAGGGAAATCTCAGAAAGGTTTCACTTTCCTGAGGATCATTTGGTCCAAAAAGCACACAAAGTTTTGAATGAGAAACAGGAAATGAGATATATACATATATTACAAAAAAAAACTCTATCAGGACAATGAGCCCCACAGTTGTGGACTATGCCAAAAGGCCAGTCAAGGCCAAGACTCCCCAGTCCTTGAACTGAATGTGGAACAGACCCAGCCTGGCTATGAGGTACTCTTGTCTTTCTTAACACCATATACCTACTTAAATGCAAGGCTATCTTGTTTTGAGTAGTAGCTTACTGAGAAGTTGGATTTTAATATTTACTATGATACCAGTTTTTCTTTAATATGATCTCAGGTTTTCTTTCCTTACTACCCATACCAACGCCTTTCACTCAAGCTTCCTGTCACCCTGGTAATATTTTCTGTATAAAACATGCTAGCTAAAGTGGGGATGCATAGCCAAGCCTCTCTCCCCAGCCTGTGTGTTAGGAACCTGACCTCCAAGCACAAAGCAGAACACCTGGCAGGCCTCTCATGGCGACACTAAGGATCTGGGGGGGGGGGGGGAATTCTGTGTGTGTTCTGAGTCCAGCTGAAGGAAGAAAATCAGTCACAATGAGCTCAGAATGGACCAAGCTCTCTAGTCCAGTTGTCCTTGCTACAAGACTTTCAAGTTGATGAGATGATCAAAAAATATAGTCACCAATGACTGTTAGATAATCCTACCCACACTTGGGCGGGTCTCACTTTCTGCGATTCTTTTGTGAGAAGCTCAGGCCCATGCTCTTATGCTTTTGGGTTTTGTGTGTGTGTGCGTGTGTTGTTTCTAAGCTAAGAACTTAATTTAATCTTGACCTTTATACTTACACCTAGATTAAAATGTCTTTTAAAAAATATTTATTTTAGCCAGGCAGTGGTGGTGCATGCCTTTAATCACAGCACTCAGGAGGCAGAAGCAGGTGGATCTCTATGAGTTTGAGGCCAGCCTGGTCTACAAAGTGAGTTCCAGGATAGCCAAGGCTATTACATAGAGAACCGCCCCCCCCCTCTCTCTATATATATATATATAATATATATTATATATAATTTACTGTGTGTAGATGTGTGGATGGGACACAGAGGCCAGAGGTATCAGATTTCCTGGAGCTAAAGTTATAGGCATTTGTGAACCACCTAACACTTAGGTTCTCTCTAAGACAGTATGTGCTCTTAACTACTAAGCCATCTTCTCAATTCTAAAAATATTATTAAACCCCAACTATTATATATATATACATATATATGTGTGTAATATATATATCCCTAGCCTGGGCTGATAGTTCTGGGTAAACCTGGGTAAAGAAAGAGCACCCCATTCCTGCCAACACATTCCAAGAATACACAGAGTCCCTGCTGCTCCCGTGGTGATATTTCTTCCTAGATTTCTCCCCTCTGAGTCCTTGTTTATGAAGCCTGATCTCTCAGCCTAAGAGATGGCCCCAGAGGCAAAGTAAACACAGAGCTTAGCTGGTCACTTGTTTTGTAGCCTTGATGTGAGAAAAGGAGAAGAAAGCAAAGGCTGGGGGTCTGGTGGGGCACCCTAGTTCTTGCTTCAGAAGAGGAAGTTGACAAAGTGGGCTGGCTGCCCAGGAAGTGGAAAGACAACCGCTACTTACTGTGTTTCCTCCGCGGCCACAGGCTTGACGTAATAATCACTTGAGTAGAGAACCACATTGGCTACTTGTTCCACTGCAAAGGGAAGACAGGAGGGAGGTAAACAGGGCAGCCTCTCGTGCCTTGCACAGGACCGTTTGAATCCAGTTCTGGCTTTCTCAGCCCCCAGCTTAAAAGCTGCAAATTTTCAAGGTCTTGTTTCAGGCCCTCTCTGTGTACACCAGGGACCAAAACACCAGGCTCTTGGATGTGGCTCCCGGGAGTCCCCTTCTCTCCTGCAAGCCTACTATCTATACCGGGTGTCCTTATCCAAAGGCATGGTGTCTCCAGCATCCCCAAACTCACCATGTACTTGCCTAAAACCCAGCCCCTTTCCATCATCCTCCACCTTACAAAAGGAATACTGTCTTCCCAGTCCTTAAGTTTTCGGAAACCTGCCAGAAGCAAGCACGATCCATGCACACTGTGATATGGTGGACAGGGAGGATGGCTCTGCAACCTGACTGCTTAGGCTCACATCTCTGTAGGGAAAATGCTTTTGTTCCTCTAAGCCTCAGTTTCCCCACCAGGAAAAGGGGGATGATGATTGCACAGGACAGGTCTGAAGAGTAAAAGACAGGCTGGCACTGGGAGCTGTCACTAAACCTGATGTCATGAGTTCAATTCCCGGAATCCACACGATGGAAGGAGAGAATTGACTCACACAGGTTGTCCTCTGATCTCCATACATATATGCTGTGGCTCTATCTATCTATCTATCTATCTATCTATCTATCTATCTATCTATCTCACACACACACATAAATATAAAACAAAGATAGGCTGGGGAGATGGCCTTGTGCTTTGTAAGCACAAAGATCTGCATTCGATCTCCAGTAGACACACACCCCAGCACTTGGGAGGCAGACACAGGTGAATGAATCCCTAGGGCTTGCTGACCAGCTAGCCTAGCCTTCTTAGTGAGCTCTAGGCCAGTAAGAAGCCTTGTTCCCAAAAAAGTGTATGTGTGGAGGAGTAATAGCTGAGGACCCAGACTTGAGACTGTCCTCTGGTCTCTACCTGCATATATATGCATGCACACACATGATGGTGTGTACCTGTAAACCACAGCATGCAGAAGGTAGAGGCAAGAGGGACTCTGCAAGCTTGAGGCTAGCCTAGTCTACACAGTAGGACAGATAAGAAAGGCCTTGGCTCAGAAAACAACACAATAACCCTGCAGCTGAGACTGATGGCTCATGCCCGAGAGACTTGGAAGGGCAAGGCTGAGGATCAGAATTCAGTGACTCTCTCTGTTGCAACCTGAGCTATGCGAGACCCTGTTGCAACAAGAAAAACAAAATCAATTAAAAAAAAAGTTTGCTGTTGCTTTAATTTTTCAAGACAGAGTTTCTCCGAGTTGCTCTGACTGTCTTTGGAACTTGCTCTGTAGATGAGGCTGGCCTTGAATTCACAGAGATCAGCCTGTCTCTACCTCCTGAGTCCTGGGATTAAAGGCATGCACCACCACTACTCAGCTGAAAGAAACCATTTAAAGTACCCATCATGTACCCAACTTATAAAAAGCTATTAACAACTTGTTCCAGAAAATTCAACAGCTTCTTTCAAGGTCATTAGTTTTGCTGCTAATATTCAATAAACTTTGAAAGCTATTTTTATTTTGGAAATGGTTTTACTGTGTGCTGAAGGCAGGCCTAAAGTTCCCAATACTGCCTCAGGCTCCCAAGTGCAAGCACTGCGAGCATGTTGCACCACACCTTGCTGAGAAATGATTTTAAATACAAACATTCAATGATACACTGTCAGTTTTGTTGCTGTTTCTGAAAGTTTGCCTCTGTTCTTTCAAAATTGAAATTATAACCCCAAAGTGGCATTATTTTTAAATTTGCATAATTGGAGAGAGTCATGTCCATGTCCAGGCACTTGTCTAGCAGGTCAGAGGACAACTTGTGGGAGGGTCAGTTCTCTCCTTCTACCCTGTGGATTCCAGAGATCAAACTCACATCATCAGGCTGGGAAACAGCACTTCTACCAGCTCATCCACTAACCCCAGGACACATTATTAAGAGGAGGGCTCTTTGGGGAAGTGATGCAGTCCTGGGGATGGTACACTCCTGAACTGGATGAGTGGCCTTATAGAGGAGGTTCTAGGAGCTTGCTGGAGGATGAGGTCCTCATCATGCCAATCTGACAGACAGCACCTTGATCATGAACTTTCCAGCCTCCAGAACTACCAGAAGTGACTGTTTGTTATTAGCTGGATACAGTGGCATAGAGCTGAGAATACCAGTACTAGGGAGACAGGGGCAAGAGGATTACAAGTTTGAGGCCTCCATCTCAATGTATGTGATCCACCTGATTTATAGTATTTTTTGCTACAGCAGCCTGAATGGACAGATAAACTCTACCACATAGACCAAAGTATTGGCACTACATACAATATGCTGAATAAGTCAGTCCTACAGAGAACTAAACCAACATAAAACAAGGCTAAATTAATATTCATATTAGCAGTGAAAATATAGAGTCTCTAATACACACGCACATAATCTGAACTTCATCTTTGATGGACATTCAGGGAAAGAGGAACATGTCAGCCCACTTTCTGCTGTTATAGCTGAATACCACAGACAAGACTACTTAAAAACAATGGAGGTTTAATTAGCCCCTGGCTCTAGAACCTGGGAAACCCAAATGGTGCTAGCATCTGATAAGGGCCTTCCTGTTTGATTATAATAGCAGGGGACCTCAAATGGTGGGGGCAGGGAAGGTGTGCCAATTTAAGTCTCTTTACTTCTTACAAAGACACTCTAGGTTCTTCCTCATAACCTCATTTGACCCTAGTGACTTCCCACAGTCTTAGCTGCAAATATCATTAACGCATGAATGTGAGGACCAAGTTTCAAACATGTGAGCTTTCTGTGGGCACACAAACCACAGCAGATAACTGGACCGTATAACCACCCATGGTTAGCATAGGACAAACCCTATTTGTGTGTGTGTGTGTGTATGTGTGTGTGTGTGTGTGTATACACTGAAGATTAAACCCAGGACCATTGCCTATACCCAGCAAGCATAAACTGAGTGATACCTCTAGCTTTTTTTAAAATGGGACTTTATGTATGGCCTCTGCATGTAGTTGCGGCTGTCCCGGAACTCCTGATCCTCTTGCTAGCTAAGCCCAGCTACAATGCCTATTTTTTTAAAACTTTATTTAACTTTATTTCATGCACATTGGTATAACAATGTCAGATTCTCTGGAACTGGAGTTACAGACAGCTGCGAGCTGCCATGTGAGTGCTGGGAATTGAACCTGGGTCCTCTGGAGGAGCAGTCAGTGCTCTTAACCATTGAGCCATCTCACCAGCCCTACAATGCCTATTTTAACATTGAAATTTCCTATCCTTTGCCCTGGGTGACCTGAGATGGCTAATGACTCTGACATTGTAAATCTACCGTATCGTGGCCATCAAATGCTTTATTTGGAAGTTGACGTCTGAATTTATTCTTCTAGATCAATCCATTGTGTTTCATGGTTTGTTTTGCCCACAAGAGACCTACACATTTTGTTGTTGTTCTGTATTTTTAATGTTTTAAGACAAAATCTAGGGATGTCACCCAGACTGACCTCAAACTCATTATCCTTCTGTCAGAATCTCCTGGGTGCTGGGATTACAGGGGTGTGCCACGATGCTCTCAGACTGGCACTTGGATGGGCTCTGGGTTGAGGAAATGATATAAAGGAGCAGTCGTGGGAGGCACCCCACTACAGTACACAACACAGTTGATGCTCACTAGATGGTCATTCCAGGTGGACATCACACTTCACTATGCACTTCTATGTGGGACCTCTACTCAGTGCCTATAGGCCTGGAAAGGTGGGCGAGGAGCCACTACTGTGGGTACCAGCTGAGATTCCAGGGTGACATACTAGGAGCCCACAAATTAGGCCCAGTGCTTTCAAATCTAATTCCTTGCTCGAGACACTTGCTATATTTATCAACAAAAGCTATCACTTGTCAAAAAAAAAAAAAAAAAGAAGAAGCAGGGCTAGAGAAATGACTCAGTGGTTAAGAGCGCAGGTTGTTCTTCTAGAGGACCCAGGTTCAAGTCCCAAAGCTCACATGGCAGCTAATGACCACCTGGCCCAGGGGAGCTTATGCCCTCTTCTGGACTACACAGGCACTGCATACACATGGCACACACACACACACACACACACACACACACACACACACACACACTAAATAAAGAATTAAACAAACAAACCAAAACAAAAAGAGAAGCTTCTCCCTGGACTTCCCAAGTGAGACCTGGCTCAGAGGGGTGTCTCTGGGAAGGCATGATCATGGGAAGATGGGAAGGAGACAAAGTACCAAGATAAAGGGCAGCCTAAGAGACCATGATGGTGAATGTAATGACTTGTTGTTTTGAGGTAGAGGCTCAAAATAGACACATCTAGGTGTGTCTACCAGACTGGCATTAATGTAGACATTTAACCAAGGACAACCTCGAACTTCCTATCTTTCTGTCTCTACCTCCCAAGTGCTGAAATTTTAGGCAAGCACCACCTGGTTTATGGGGCACTGGGATTGAACCTAGGGTTTCCTGCATGCTCTACCAACTGAGCTGTGTCCATAGCCTGAATGTGGTGACTTTCAAGGTCCTTCTCTTCCTAAGGTCCTATTGTCAATGATAACAGCAACAGTAGGCAGACCAAGGACTAAAGGTGAGGTGGGAGGCTTATCAGAGTGGCCCCTAGGAAATAGCTTGAGGTTGCAGAGCTGTAGAAGGTCCTACCTAATACTTTAATCTTCTTCACAGTCTTCTCTGTGTTGTTGGTCACTGTCACAGTCACAGGGATGGGCTCCCCATGGAAATAGATCTGAAAAGTGAGAGAGATGTCAGAAGAGAAGAACGGAGTGCAGTGGGGTGGAATCTTGGTTCAGAAGGCTCTCTAGACCAAGATTTTCTTAATCTCTTTCTAGTAAATAAGGCTGAATACCCCCACTATTAGAGAACCTAAAACGATAGCAACATTTCCTCAAGAGAAGGGTATGGACACGTTCAGCCCCATCTGCAGAAGGCCAGGGAAGTTGAGAGGCATAATGGCTAGCTCTAATTGCCAACTTGACATAACCTAGCACCACCTGGGAAGAGAGTCTTGTTGACATTGGGTTGGTCTGTAGGCATGTTTGTGGGGAGCCACCTTGATTGTTAACTCATGTGGGCAGAGCCAGCCCCACTGTGGGCAGCACCATGCTCTAGGCAGGGGTCCTGAACTGTAGTAAGAGTGGAGGAATCAAGTTGAACGGAAGCAAGCCAGTGAGCATGCATGCATTTTCTTCTCTCTGTTCTTGACTGTGGATGTGATGCGATTAGCTCTTTGAGGTGCCTGCCTTGACATCATTGTTTGGGGATGGAAAGTGTGAAATGAAGAGGAGTCACTGAGAAAGCTGGCTGATGGAGCTTTACCCGGCAACACCCTGTGCTATCCAGCCCTGAGTGGGCACACCCACACATATGTACACACTACATGTGGTACTGGCTAACCTGTGTATTGCTGACCTTGGACCACAAGGGCCTTGGCCAACAGCTCTTCACCTTCTACTACCATGATCCTCCTCACTGATGACATCACTCTTGACAGGGCTGCCCTGTGAGGTTTCTATGAGATCTGAATTTCCCAAGGAAGTAAGCAATTTGAAGTAGTACAGAGAGCAATGTCGCCTTAGAGACAGGAGTGGAAAATGGCCAGAGTGGATGGGAGGGGATGTATGCTTCCAATCTGCACAGCCCCCAGTCTATAGGAACAGCCAACAAGTGCAAAGGTTAACCATGGTGGCTCATGGTGACTAGCGCCAAAGTAACAGGAATAAAGCTGGTACTTTGCAAACATCTGTGTTCCGCTATGGCAGAAAGAAGGTGACTCGTGATGCACCCACACAGTGAGAGGGATGTGGTCTCGACCCCTGACCTGAATGCCCATGGGAATGTGGATTACCTCTTTGCTGAGGGAAACTGAGAGGTGCAGGGGCTTGTCAGACATGAAGAACTGCCAGGAAGCCTCAGAACTGGGCTGGGGACCCATCTCAGGAGGGGCATGCTGTACTTTCCGGATCAATAGCCGCACAGAGCTCCTGAGGAGAAAAGGTTCCTGGTTGGTATCCACCACACTCCCAGCGCTTCAAAGTGGCCTTCGAGAGGACACGGGAGAATGGGCCAGATGCTGTTCTAATCCCTTCTCCACAATTCCAGGAGTTGAATGCTGAACCTGCAATGCCCTCAAGGATCCCCTTCATCCTGTCAGACTCGGCCTAGCCTCTTCTCAGGAGAGTATGTATCTTGGTTTCAGGTGATATGTGACCAGGCTTTAGAGCACTGTGTAACTGACACATTGTCACTGTCATAAGCATCAAAAGCACAGAGCTCCGGTGCAGAATGCTTGCCTAGTATGTACAATGTCACGCGTGGGTGAGAGCCACAGCACAGAGCTCCAGTGCAGAATGCTTGCCTAGTATGTACAATGTCATGGGTCAGAGCCACAGCACAGAGCATGCAGCACTGTGAGATGTGGGTGCCGAGTATGAGGAGACTATGGAAAGGGATGGGATAGGAGGAGGCTTAGGAGTGAAAGTGAGTTATCAAATCAAAAGGAGACACAAAGTTAGGTTGGGGAGGCGCTGGGAGGCAAGGAAGTGGATGTGCGTATCACTAGAGTTCACTGGAAATATGTATGAAATTCTCAAAAAAAAATTAAAAGGAAATGGAGCACCTGGTTGGTAGGAGGAATGTTTATTGGTGATGGAGATTCTGTTTGGGATGACTCAAAAGTTTTGAGTTAGATTCTAATGGTGTCAAAAACACTGTGAATATACTTAGTGTTATGGGGTTATACATACAAAAGTGTTAGAATCATGAACTTCATGGTGTATGTATCTTATCATAAGTTTAAAGAAATGTTTTAAGAAATAAAAAAGAAATAGACATGGTATCTTATACCTGGCGTTCCAATGGTGGGGAAGCTGAGGCACAAGGACCACCCTTGTGAGTTCTAGGCCAGTCTTGGCCACAGAGTGATACCACTTTAAAAGAAAAGAAAAACTAAAAAGAGGGAAAAAAGAAACTAAAGGAAGAGAATAAAGGAAATGACCTGGCAGGTTTGGGGGACCCATGAGTCCCTGAGGTTGCTAAGCCCACTGTCATTCTCTTTTATCCTCCACAGCCTGTATTATTAGTTACTGCCTCCGAGCCTTTTATAAATGGCAGATAGTTCAGTCTTTATCTGCCCTGACCTGGGGGGGCTCCGTGTCGCCAGCCACAGGAAGCCTGTGGGGAGGAGAGTTCTGTCACACCAGGATAAAGAGAGGCTGTTTTGTGTCCCTACCGCAATACCACCCACCCACCCCCGGTCCCACGAGAAGACTCTTACTTCTTGGGGATCTTGTCCTCGTCGCTATCTGGGGAGTCTGTGGCAAATGCTTTGACCTCAAAGTCGACTCCACAGCTCTGTTGGAGAAAAGAGACAGGGAGTGGTTAACACCTCCCTTCCCAGGAGTCAGGACAGAAGATCACACCCTCAGGCAGACGGAAAGCCCTAGCTTTTCACCTTAGCTGTGTCTTTCTTGGGGTTGTCCCATGAAGACTAGTGGAGATGTATAAGTGGATCCAACATTGGCATCAGATGGTGAGTGTCCTAGTTAGGTTACGATCCCAGTGATAAAGCAACATGACCAAAAGAGCAAGCTGGGGAGGATGGGTTTACTTGGCTTAATACTTCCACATCACGGTCCATCACTGAAGGAAGTTAGGACAGGAACTCAAACAGGGCAGGAACCTGAAGGCAGGAACTGATGCAGAGGTCAAGGAGGGGTGCTGCTCCTTGTGGCTTGCTTTCTCATAGAACCAGGACCACCAGCCCAGGGATGGCACCATTTGCAGTGGGTTGAGCTCTTCCCTATCAGTCACTAATTAAGAAAATGCTCTACAAGCTTGCCAACAACCTGATCTTACAGAGGCATTTTCTTTTCTTTCTTTTTTAAAAGATTTATTTATTTATTATGTATACAACATTCCTTCCATGTATGCTTGCATGCCAGAAGAGGGCACCAGATCTCATTATAGATGGCTGTGAGACACCATGTGGTTGCTGGGACTTGAACTCAGGACCTCTGGAAGAGAAGTCAGTGCTCTTAGCCTCTGAGCCATCTCTCCAGCCCCAGCAGTGGAGACAGATACAGATGTTCATGTGCTGGGAGCAGTATCCGTGAATGTCCTGCCATGATGCACTCTGACTCCCCGAAAGCTAATTCTGGCCACATAGCAATGGCTTACAATGGTTGATTTTTTTTTTCTCTTCAAAATTAGGTAAGATGGTAAGAGAACTTTCAAGCTTATATGGATGGAGTGAATGCCATTTGCCTGTGATCTCCAGTCCTCAGTTCCCTATGGAGGCCCAGCACATTCTGGTTTCTGGCCAGAGAGAAAATCAGAGACAGCAAGATGTCTCTTATGTTTCAATGCTACAGGTCAATGGTGACCGCCGAGCCACAGACCTAAAGGTTCTGAGACTAAGGGACACACAGCACCTTTTAACTGCAGGTTGTAAAGAAACAAGTGTCACTTCCATCAGCCAGGTAATGTGTAGGCAGCCTGCTCTGTCACCCACCCATCCCACCATCCATCCCAATCTGGGCTGGTCCCTAACAAGCCACATATATCTATGGGCTTCCCTGTGCTCTGTGGATCCCCTAGGTTGAAGCACTCACTCTGTAGCTGTGTAAAACTAAATAATAGCATAATAGTATATCATGTGCTTAAAAATTTCCATCTATATATTATATACTGCTAACTATTATATAGTATTAAGGCATTATATTGTGTGACCATTATATAGTGTAAAGTATATTCATTTTATTAATATAATAACAACAAATAAACTACATAATATTTATAGGATTATAACGTGTAATTTGTGATACATAAAATGGCATTGTTATATTCAGATATAATGTTATACGTATGTATTACATCTTTATATATGTATGTATATATTTAATAATCTCCTATGTGGCTGGGCAGTGGTGGTGCACGCCTTTAATTCCAGCACTCATGATGCAAAGGCAGGTGGATCTCTGTGAGTTTGAGGCCAGCCTGGTCTACAAGAGCTAGTTCCAGAAGAGGCTCCAAAGCTACAGACAAACCCTGTCTCAAAAAACCACATCAAAACAAAACAAAATAATCTCCTATGTGTCCCTCAAGCCTACCAACTGCAACCAAGTCCCCAGCTTGAGGATACTGGAGGTTCCCAGCTCAGAAGCCTCCCAACCAAGTTATCAGCCTCTCCCCTCTAAGAATAGAGGGGATGGAAGGGGCTCTGGCTTACACAGGGTTGTAAAACTCCAGAAAGATCATCTAAGAATCACGATTTGGAGCCTCTTTGAAAGAGCACGGATGGATCTGATGAGGCTTGGTACGATGGCACTCAAATGTTTTAAAGGTAATATTTATAGTGTGATCAATAAAACAGACACATATGTGTGAAGCCACTCTCAGGACATGACATTCACCTTTGCGCCATGCAATCAGTTCCGAGAGCATCCATCGCATTCCATTTAGTTCCATTCTATTCTGTGCCGTTCTGTCCCACCTGCTTTTGTTTTCACTCCATTTCTGACCTATGAACCCTGAGTGAGCGATGATGCCACACTGAGGAACACTGTCCTCACATTTGTCATTGTCAATCTCTGTCTACTGTCCTCCATACTCAGATACAGACCTGCCTGCCAGCTGGCCAGTCTTGGAGCCCTGGCAATCCAGCACCCATTCCCTTCTCTCATCGTTCCTGCCTTTGTGCCTGGAGTCCATGGTTCATCTTGGTCACACTGTTTTCCCTCCCTCTGCCTTTGCAGCACGTGCTTGACCAACCTCAGATCCATTCTTGACCCTTTGTACGCCTGACTCAGAGCCTGTCGTTCAGGTTCCCCTGTCATTCTAGCTCAAACCCAAGTCCTCAAGACCTGGCCTTCCAGTGCTTCCCACCCTGACCTCAGCTCCCACCCTTCATCCCTTCTTTCATTCAGCAGGAACAGCCTGAGCGTGTTCCCTCCGCCACAAGTGACAGGGCCTCTCTCCCTGCAGAGTCTGGCGTTCCCCTTTTCTCGGTATAAAGATGGGGACTTTCAATGTTACCTGTTGTCCCTCCCTCACACCAGCCTGAGGCTTTCCAGAGTGCCTGTGGCCAGCTAATATATCCTGCAGTTGTGTGCTTTTGTTGTTGCCTGTGGCTTTTCTTTAACATGTGAGACCCAGGAGGTTCTAATTTCTTATTCATAAGAATGATCATGGTTAATAATTGTTGGAGACGAGTGGTGGGGTCACGGAGAGTCTTTGCGCCGGGTTCTTTATCTTTGTGTGTATTTGAAATTTTCCATGATAAAAAGCTACTTGAAAGGTCTATTGAAAGTCTGGCGTGGTGACTCACGCCTATCATTCCAGCAATTGGAAGGCAGTGGCCAGTCTCCGCGACATAAGACCCCGCCTCAAAAACAAACACTCAAAAACCTATTGAAGGAGGATGAGCCTGTGGTGTTTCTTCTTTAACTCACCTTCCCTACGTCTTGTGGAGCCGGCTGCAACATCACTGAACAGGGCAGGTAGTCAGGAAACTGGAGAGACACAAATACACACCATTTCACTCAGAGGGGTTATTCCACGTGCAGTGGAAAACCATCACGCCAGTGACACAAGAAGACAAACCGGACCTCCAGGAGTGGATCCTGCTCTCCTAACACCCAGGACACTGATCGAGTTCCAGATGTCTCCAGCATGCATGGAGACACACAAATGACGTTGTACACAGGATGCATGCTCACTGCGACCAAATGTGTCTAGTTATCTGGTTCGCTCACTTCACTAGTCCTTGTCCCATTCAGAGATCTTTCTAACCATTTTTACACATCATTTATACACATCTCCACAGTGCTTAGAGCTTCGACAGCACACACTTCATGTAGCCATTCCTCTTTGTTGGACACTTACATGATGCATAAATTTTTTTTTGTCATTATAAACAATACCACAAGCAGGGCAGTGGTGGCGCACACCTGTAATCCCAGCACTTAGGAGGCAGAGGCAGGCAGATCTCTGTGAGTTCAAGGCCAGCCTGGTCTACAAAGTGAGTTCCAGTCAGAGCTGTTACACAGAGAAACCAGGTCTTGAAAAACCAAAATAAACAAACAAAACAATACAACAATAAATAAACACTTTCAAACCCTTTAGTCCAGTTTTAGCCAATTAATGCTATGTGTCACATTGCAAGAAAGGGAACGATCAGATTAGAATCATATCTTTTGGGGGGGGCACAGGGTCTTTATTAATCTATGCTGGCCTTGAATTTTCAATCCTCCTGCCTCTGCTTCCATATTATATGGCATTATTCATGGCTGAAAAACCACATTTTAAAAAGACTTACTTTTTGTTTTGTTTTGTTTTGTTTTTTCAAGACAGGGTTTCTCTGTAGCTTTGGAGTCTGTCCTGGAAATAGCTCTTGTAGACAAGGCTGGTCTCGAACTTACAGAGATCCACCTGTCTCTGCCTCCTGAGTACTGGGGTTAAAGGCGGGCACCACCACCACCTGGCTAAGACTTATTAATTTTTAAATGTTATATTCATGAGTGTTTTGCCTGCACATATGTAAGTACACTGCATGTATGCCTGATGTTCATGGAGGCCAAAAGAGGGTAATGGAACCTCTGAAACTGGAGTTATAGACAAGTTTAAGTTGCCATTCTGATGCTGAACACCAACCCCTGGTCCTTTGCAAAAACAGCTAACCTCACCTCCGGTACTTAAAGATCTCATCTCATTTATAGCTGGGCATGTTGGCTCATGCTTTTAATCCCAGCATTTGGGAGGCAGAGGCAGGAAGATCTGAATTTGAGTGTAGCCATATCTACACAGTAAGCTCCAGGACAGCCAGGAGAACCTGTCTCAAAAAGATAAAAGAAATCACATTGCTAAAGTTTTTTTTTGTTTGTTTGTTTTTTATTTTTTGTATTTTGGGGTTGGGGTTGAGATAGGGTTTCTCTGTGTACCCTGGAACTCGTTATGTAGCCCAGGCTGGCCACAAACTCAACAATCTGCCTGTCTCTGCCTTCCAAGTGATGATATTGAAAATATGTGCCACTGTATCTGGCCTGAGTCTTTTGTATTTTTGAGACAGAGTCTCTCTATGTAGCTCTGGTTGACCTGGAACCCATTATGTAGACCAGGTTGGCCTTGAACTCACAGAGATCCTCCTGCCTCTGCTTTCTTGAATGCTGGGATTAAAGGCGTGTACTAAAACACCTCTTATAGATTTTGAGATGCATTGACTTGCCACGTCAGGTTCTCAGCATAGGTGCATAGAAGCACCCAGGACTAAATAATTTTCTTTATTTGTTTTGATTTTCTTTCTTTCTTTACTTTTTTGGGGGGTGGGGTGTGGAGTTGGTTTTTTCAAGATAGGGTTTCTCTGTATAGTCCTGGCAGTCCTGGAACATGCTCTGTAGAGTAGGCCGACCTCAAACTCAGAGACCTGCCTGCCTCTACTTCCTGAATGCTAGGATTAAAGGTATGAACCACCATGCCTGGCTAAATAATCTTTTTAAAAAGAATTTTATAACTTTGGAGGAGTGTGTGTCACTAAGATAGTAACTGTGTAGGGGCTGGAGAGATGGTTCAGTGGTTAAGATAGTAACCGTGCAAACAGAAAAGGCTACAGAAGCTTCCCCATCCCCAGCTCTTGCCAAGGACTTGGGTTTCCCTGGGTGATGCATGGGCCTCAGGAGAGGTGAGGGGACAGAGTAAGGGCCCTGATTCAATTCCCAGCACCATGTAGGGGAGCAGAGTTGGGGCAAAAGAGTAAATGATGGCACTTGCTCTATCAAGACCTCAGGTCCCACAGGGCACTCTTGCTTGCTTAGAACTCCCTGGGGCCAGCTGGGGGTCACAGCTACCAGTTTCTTTTTATAGCAGAATGAGAGAAGACAGAACACATACTCATCTAATTAGGCGGTCAGATGAAGGAAAATATCCAAAGGGCAGGTTGAAATGGTGCCTTCAGAGGCAGGGAGGCTATTTTCAAAGACTTAAAAACAGACAATCACAGAGCATGCAATCTAGAATTTCTTTCAAGGGTGCAATTTACAGACCCACAGATGTGAAATCCTCCCTCTGGCCCCTTCGCTTTGCCCCATTCCCATTGTGAGGTACTGGGGATGAAGGAGGCAGGCCAGGGGAGCAGGCAGGGTAAAGAGAGCTCACCGTGAGCAGAAATGGGTAGGTGTTGTCTCCCAGTTTCTTGAGCAGGCTCTCCTGGAGTTGGGTAGGGGCACTCATGGCCCCAACAGGAGGGTATACCTGGACCCGAGAAAAGTACAGGTCCCTGCGGAAGGTCAGGCCAATCACGTCAATGTCCTCCTGGCCATAGCGGAAGGCGCAAGTCAGAGTGACATACACTGGGAAGAAGACGCACACGGGTTAGACCTGGTCTGTTGCACAGGCCGGATTACCTCAGCCACTTCCACTGGGCTGAGCCCGCAGCAGAGCGACCACACCACTCTGTCTACCCCAGGGATCCAGGCTTTGCTGCCTGGAAGGAACTGGGTCTGGGAGAAGAATACTTTGCAGCTGGCTGACACATTTTGGGAGAAGCAGCCTGTTCCTAGGGTTAGCGTTCATTATCCTAGACAGGACCGTCACAGAATTGCAAGACATCTCCCTGGCAACCACATTATTTTGCTAGGCTGATAGTAATCTCGGGACAGGGATGGCAAGATGGCTAACTGAGTAAAGGTGTCTGCTGCACAGCCTGACAAACCATGTCAATCTCTGGGACCCACACAATGGCAGGAAGGAACCAACTCTCTCCAAGTTGTCCTCTGACTTCTACGGGTGCACCTTAGTGCTTGTGCGCCCACCACATACAGACAGACATACACAGAGACACATAAACACCCACACACTGCATAATGACAAACGTAATAAATGTGCAGTCCACCTGTCCTTACTGTTTCCGATCTCCCACCCTCCCTCTGCCTGGGCTACCAGCTTGGGTATCTGGAGTTGGATGTCTGAAAATGGTGCTAACTTGCTTGTTTGGGTTAGAGAGGCCAGGATGTCTGGAGAGACAGACAGAGAAAACAGCAAAAGCAAAACAGACATGTGCCTGAGCCATATGGAGGCTGAGGGAACAGCCAAAGGTCCGGGCCAAGCAAGGAGACAAAATCAAACCTGAGAAGCTGCATTTATAGTCTCTGTACATTGCTCAGAAGCCTAGGAAGCATTCTCTAAATCACTGGTTCCCAAAATTCTGTCTGATTAAAGACAGCCCGTGCCCGGTGTGTGAAAGTTCACCTGAAGTTGAAGACAGGAAGTGCACAGTTCTCCATAGTAAGGCTTATCAAAAGTGATACCTTGAGACCTCTCTCTTGGCCTGAGAATTCTTTCTGTGTCAGTTCTAAGGCCAGCTGCCCCCTAGTCGCTGACTCAGACGAACCACTAACCAGCTGTTCATCCTTCCTTTGAGCACTTTTGAGAGGTGTCCACAGCAGGTCTGGATTTCTGCTTGCACCCACTAAGCTGTGGTTTTCCCTGATAACTAAATCCCTGTGTGGTAAAGGGCAGGGACCGATTGGGTTCAAACCAGAGAGATGGAGAGCACCCAGGCAGGTGAGGAAACAGAGGAGAACCATTGTCTGCCATTCCTGCTTCGCTCCCCACTCCCCACCCCTGCGCTGTTGCCAGCCCACACCTGACATATTCTAGCGGGTACACCCAAGGTTTAGAACAATGCCTGTGGTTGCCAGTAGCAACCACTCCAAAGGCATATTTAGAATGGAATTGAGTCAGCAACATTATCATAAGCCTCGCTCGAATCTGTTCTAATTCAGTTTTTGTGACTGTCATTAGGAACAAATGGCTTGCCGCACACGACACAACTGCCAGAGATCTCAAGGGCACTGTCATACTGAAGCACAGAACTTCCCAAGGACACAGAACAATAAACTCTGGGTTTTATTCCCCTGCCTTCAATAGGCACGGCTGCCCACATGAAAGCCTACCACCCACAGCAACAACCTTTACTGACAGAAGGATGGAGAAGCAAGGGGCTCAGCTCACCTTTCTTTCCCTTCACCAGCTCGGGATCCACCAACACAACACCATCTAGACCAAAAGAGAGAAAACCGAGAGTGAGATCAAGAAAATCAGACATCTGGCTTTAAAGCTGTGTACAATATGGTGTCTTCTGTTTTTATTTTGGAGGTGGGAGGGGGAGGCAGGGTCTCATGTAGCTCTGGCTAGCGTTGGCTTTGCTATGTAGGTAGCTAAGGATGACCATAAACAAGTAATCCTCCTGGCTCCAGGCCTGATCCACCAGACTGGCTTGCTTTCTATTATTTTTAAAAAACAGCAATTTTTTATTTGGGGTTGGAGAGATGGTTCAGCAGCTACGAGCACTTGCTGCTCTTGCACAGGGCCCAGGTTTGGTCCCCAGCACCCATACGGCAACACACAACTGTCTGTAGCTCCAGTTTCAGAGGAGCCAACACCTCTTCTATCCCCCAAGGGCTCCTGCATGTATATGGTGCACATACATACAGGCAGGCCCTCACACTTATACATACAAGAATAAGAATAGTAATTTTTAAAATGTAGTTCTGGGGATCAAATTCAGACTGTGAGTCTTGGCAGCAAGCATCCTTACCCACTGAGGGCGTGTTTATCCTCAGTGCTTAAAACTGCCAATTTTCTCCATACTTCTTTCAATGTTTAATAGACAATGAAATGCTTATCAAGCCAAAGGAAGGTGAAAAGCCAGTACAGAGGGCTGCAGTATGCCTCTTGTGCTTACGGTTTATATACCATGTTGAATTAGGACACGGACAAGCACACAATGGTTGTGTACGGTTCTGTGTTACAACAACCACCACAGTGTACATTTAGAATTGTCCTGGCATTGTAAAGGTCTCCTTTGGGCTCTCTCATGTCACCCATCCCTGCTTCCACCATCCTCAGTGGAAGTGGCAAGCACTGGCTGCAGAACTTTGTCATCTTGAGAATGTTGTGAATGAGTGAAACCATGAAGTCCACAGCCCTTTGAGATGGCTCTTGTCACCCGGCATAATGTTTAGAGATCTCTAAGTTGTTGCAGGTATCAATAGCTCACACATCTTACATTTCTTCTTCTTTTCTTTTCTTTTTTTGAGAAAAGGTCTCTCCTATTATAGTCCAGGCTGACCTCAGATTCTCGATCCTTCCCCTTCAGCTTCCCCAGTGCTGGGATTACAGGTGTATGCCACAACAACCAGCTGCTTGGTTTTTTATGATTGAATGTGTGTGTGTGTGTGTGTGTAGAGATAGATAGATAGATAGATAGATAGATAGATAGATAGATGATAGATAGATAGATAGATAGATAGATAGATAGATAGATAGATCAACCAACCATATATCCATGGTAGGGATATACCACATGTGTGTGTGTGTGTGTGTGTAGATAAAGATAGATAGATAGATAGATAGATAGATAGATAGATAGATAGATAGATAGATAGATACCATATATCTATGGTAGAGCAATACCACAGTTTGTTTAACCTTTCTCATCTACTAAAGAGAGACTTCCATTCTTTTTGGTTTGCAGCTGCTGTGGACAACCATGTCCAAGCAAGGTTTTGTAGGCACAGTTTTTACTTCTCAATAAAGACCCAGGAGTGCTATTGTTGGGTCTTACAGTAAGTGTACATTTAGTTCTTAAAGAAACTGCCAACTGCTTTCCTGGTGGCTGCAGCACTATACAATCCCACTAGCAGCCTACGTGTGCCAGATCCTTGGTATTCTCATTGTTATTGACATTGCCACTGCCTGTTCTTTTGATCAAACAAACAAACAAAAAGGAAAAATTGAAATATATTGGTTTTATGTAAGGAAAACCACATATAGGAACAGTTTCTTTTTCTATACATAGTTGGATTCCTAGATATTTCCTAGAGTCTAGGTGGCCCTGGAGATATAAGAAATGACTGGTCTAGCCACATATTCTCCCAGAATCATGGACAGCATCATGACAGTGTTTTCGGGTACCTCTTCCCTCAGGACCAAGCACTTAAAGTTTTTTTTTAAAAGATTTATTTATTTATTATGTATACAATATTCTGCCTCGATGTATGCCCACACGCCAGAGGAGGGCGCCAGATCTCAGTACAGATGGTTGTGAGCCACCATGTGGTTGCTGGGAATTGAACTCAGGACCTCTGGAAGAGCAGCCAATGCTCTTAACCTCTGAGCCACCTCTCCAGCCCCCCCAAGCACTTAAAGTTTTAAGATTAGGACAAATCCTGTTGTCTCTGGCTCCAACCCATTTACTTCAGACATCTTCTCTTGCTTACAGACTCCTTTGAGTCTTTCTGTGTTTCCTTCACATCGGTTTGGGGGTACAGTCTAATCATGATGGGTAAAATACAGAGGCAGGAGCTTAAAGCAGCTGGCCACACTGCATGTGGAGTCAGGAAACAGAGATGTGATTTTTTTCCTTTAGTACTAAAGATTGAGCCCAAGGTCTTGCACTAGGCAGGTGCTGAGCTACAAAACAGCCCTTTAATTTTTTTTTTTAAATGTGAGGGGCCAGCAAGATGACTTAGTGGATGAAGATGCTTGCTGCACACTCCTGGAAACCTGAGTTCAATTTGTGGAACCACACAAAGGTGCAAGAGAACTGACTATACAAATTAGCCCTCTGACCTCCACACATATGCTCTCCCCAAACAGATAGATAACTATAAAAATAGTTTCTGGTCAACCGGCAGTCACTTGATGGCATTTAAATTTGTATCTCCTTGATTAGATTATCGGTGAAATTTTTTATTTTTTAGAAATTCATTTTATATATATTATGGGTGTTTACCTGTATGTATGTATGTATGCATGCATGCATATCACCTACATGCACTGTGCAGAGAGGCAAGAAGAGTAGAGAGGAGTAACATATGGTTGCGAGCTGCCGTGTAAGTGCTGGGAACTGAACTCTGGTCCTCTGCAAGTGTTCTTAACCTCTGAGTCATCTCTCCAGCCTGAGACCCATCTTTTTGTTTTTGTTTTTGTTTGTTTGTTTGATATAAGGTCTCTCTATGTAGCCCTGGCTTTCCAGAAACTCATTATGTGGACCAGGCTGACTTCACAGAGATCCACCTGCCTCTGCCTCCTAAGCTCTGGGATTAAAGGCATGCACCACCATGCCACTGAACCACCAGGCCTGGCTGGAAATCCCCTTTTTGTTGTTTTGTTTTTTTTTTTCCTAATGAAAAACTAGTCATTGTCTGATGACTTAAAGGAAAACCAGCATTAAATTTTCCTTCAAATTCAACTTACCTACAGGCTCTACTTGGCTGACATGGTCGACATAGTCTCTCTTCCCCAGGTAGATAGTCACCTTTGGGAAGAATGAAGGCATTCACTTAGAAGCCAACAACCCCAAAGCCTCCCCAGTTTCTTTCTTCCTCTTATTCAGTGCTGAGCATCAAACCTGGGGCCACACACAGGCAAGGCAAGCACTCCACCCTGGGGTGCGCACACACACAAGGCAAGCACTCCACCCTGGGGTGCACACACACAAGGCAAGCATTCCACCCTGGGGTGCACATGTGCAAGGAAGTACTCCACCCTGGGGCTGCACACAGGCAAGGCAAGTACTTCACCCTGGGGTGCACAGATGCAAGGCAAGCACTCCACCCTGGGGTGCACACACACAAGGCAAACACTCCACCCTGGGGCTGCACACATGCAAAACAAACACTCCACCCTGGGCTGCAAACACTCCACCCTGGGGCTTCACTCTGGAGCTTCAGCCCTTTCCCTTAGTCTTCGATAGAGAAGCCAATTGTCTCCATGGCTGCTCTGTGACTTCCTTCTTTCCCAGCTGTGGGTGAAGATGGTTCATTTCAAGTGAAGGGTACTGTCTTCTAGCCCTATATCAGCTCCAAGGAATGATTCCCATCCATATGAATGGTGGGAACTCTTTCCACTCCGTTCTGTCCTTCCCATCAAGTCCAGGTCTGTAAGCAATCAAGTAAACCCGTACATTCGTGGAAGGTTATGCCTATGGACACGGTCAGCTTTCTATTTCTAGTTGTGTGCCAAAAGGCCTTGTCTTCTTGTTCAGAGACTTTCTTGACGAGGCAAAGAAGCAGAAATTCCAGAGGAGCCTGAAATCCCTTTGGGCAAGCTCTGCACAGGTAAATGGGCAACCCCGCGCTGAGGAAGGAGGTGGCAGAGCTGAGTGGTGGGGACACCATCCACGCTCCTGGCAGCCAGTCTCCTCCTATTCTGTAGGAGAGCAGGGAGCTGCTTCTCTGCTGCCCACTGCTCAACCAGAAGACCACAGATGCCTTGAGGTGAGAACCTAGAACAGTGGTTCTCAACCTTCTTAACGCTATGGCCCTTTAACAGAGTTCCTCATTTTGTGGTGACCCCCTCAACCACAAACTATTTTCGTTGCTACTTCATAATTGCAATTATGCTACTGTTATGAATTGTAATGCAAATATCTGTTTTCCAGGGGTCTTAGGAGACTCCTGTGAAAGATTTGTTCGACACCCCCCCCAAAGGGGTCTCAACCCACAGGTTGAGAACTGCTGATCTAGAGTGTTCTGTGCCCCTTTCAGCCTTCTCAATATTTACTACAGCCTTTGTACATAGATTCAGTCAGAGGTTGCTAAGTACACCAATGACTAAAATCATGCATCCTGGCTAGCCCTTTGTTTCTGTCGGCCTCGCAAGTACACGTTTTTATTTCTGCAAACAACCCAAATGATTTTTGACATTAAATCGTGTCTTATACTTTGCCCTCCACCGTGTATCATTTGTCCCCAGGTGGGTGCAGTTGTATGACTGACATTGGAGGTTGTATCAAGCCAATGCCTCTAGATCCCTGTTCACAGAGAAGATCCCGTGAGAAACCTTTGTGAATCTGTGCACAGTGGTTTCTGCAGGCCTCAGCAGGCTGGGAAGGGTGGGAGCCGGGCATAGGATGCAGGGACACGCATCGTAATGTGTGCTGTAACTCTCTAGACCAGTGTTCCATTTGGAGGCTAACCCAGCTGACTCACCCAGTGAACTCCCTGGCCCCCTGCTTTCTGTGTAGAATTGACCCAAAAGCAGAGAGAGAGAAGAGGGGAGGCTAGTGTTTACTATGGCTTGCTCTCCTGCCTGGCCTATGGCTGGCATGGTCTTCTACGCATGGTCACAGTTCCTGGCACGTGGCCCTGTTGGCTTCCCTCCCCGTTCCTTCAGCCCAGGAAGTACCTGAGCTCAGTTCTACAGGCCCAATCCAGACTGGATGGGATGAAGTCGTAGTAGACGTTGGGTTTTATCCAGGGGCACAAACTCCCCTCCAAGCCACCCATTGCTGTCCTTACAGGAACCCTCCATGTGGGTACCTCCTAATTCATAGATGCTCCTGCTCCCTCCCTCCTGTTGAATAGCACCCAGTTCCTTGACCAACAGGGTCCTTACCTCTGGGCTCCAGGCCCCTCTGCCCTCAACTTGGCCTTGGCTCATGGCAGCCCTATTGAATCCATCTGTTCCTACTCCCTGCACAGCGAAGAAGGCCCTTCAGCCACATCTCTAGTTGAGAAAGCCCCAGCCAGGCTTCAAGAGAACAATTTGCCACTCCAAGTCCCTTGCCTCTCAGCATACCCTGGCTGCCCCTGTGTTATTTTGAGATAGTGTTTCTCACTCTGTAGCACAAGCTATCCTAGAACACACTGTGTAGCCCAGGCTAGCTTCAAACCTCCTGCCTCAGTCTCTCAAGTGCTGAAGTTTAGGGGCCCCTGTCACCATGCCTAACACCTTCCAGCCTATGGTGCCACACGGACATTCAAGAATGCAACCCCATCGCTGCACGTGCCCCATCTGGCTTCAGGGCTATGGAGGCCTCACCATACCACTGGTCTGTGGGGACAAAAACCTCTCCAGGTTTCTACCGTTAGGTTTGAGGTAAGTGGTGAGGAAAAGGCAGGCAAAGGGTATGGTCAGGAAGGAGAAGGGAAAGCTCCCCTTTGAAGGAGGCGCTACCTGAGCAGACAACGCAGGTAGGAGGCCAGAGGATAGGCAGGAATGGCTTTTTCTGGGCAAAAGAGACGGAAAGATGCCAAGGTGAAGAGCATGTATCTGAAGTCAGCAGCCTCCTTTGTAGCCAGTGGCCACTGAGTGAGGATGAAGGCTGAGTGCAGTAAGGACTTTAGGACTCAGGCCCGAGGAGCTCAGGAAGATGTCCTGATACAGGGCACTCTAGACACTGTGTTCAGTTCAAACTCGAAACAACTCTGGAGGATGAGATTAGCCCTGTCTTCCACAAACACTGAGCTCTGGGTCCTGTTGGCATCTTCCTAAGTGGAAGGAGGATTAGCAAGGGAAAGCCAGGCAGGCGGATCTTTATGGTTGGGAAGAGAGAACCTTAGAGTCTCTAGGACGAAGATGAATAGATGGAGGAGCTTTTCTCTTCTCCCAACCTTTGGCTGGAAGAAAGAAAGCTGGAGATGGAGGCCAAGGGGGTTGTTGATAGTCATTATTAAAATGCAAGATATGAAGACATCTTTTATTTTTTTTTATATTTATTTATTTATTTATTTATTATGTATACAATATTCTTTCTGTGTGTATGTCTGCAGGCCAGAAGAGGGCACCAGACCTCATTACAGATGGTTGTGAGTCACCATGTGGTTGCTGGGAATTGAACTCAGGACCTTTGGAAGAGCAGGCAATGCTCTTAACCACTGAGCCATCTCTCCAGCCCCGACATCTTTTATTTTTGAGACAGGGTCTAACTATGTAGTCCTGTATGTGTGTATATATACTGTGTTGTGGCTGGTGCCTGCAGAAGCCAGAAGAGGGCCTCTGATCCCCTAGAGCCTGAGTTATGAATAGTTGTTATTTACTATGTGGGTGCTGGGAACCAAACCCAGGTCCTCTGCAAAAGCAACAAATGTTTTTAAGTGCTGAGCCATCTCTCCAGCCAGCCAGCTAGCCAGTCTGCATGCCTTCCTTTCTCTTTGACAAGCTCCTTCTGTGTCACTCTTGCTGGCCTTGAACTTGGGATCGTCACGAGTGCTAAAATCAGAAGTGTGTGCTGCTAGTTCCAGCTCAGGAAATGTTTCTTAGTTGGTCTGATCTACTTCTGAACGTCTAATTGCTTTGGCTTGTGATTGACTTAGCCTCGGCCGGTAACTCAGGCCCAACCAATGAATACAAGGGGCAAGTCTTCTGGAGAGGTCCTGGGAAAGGTTTCCTGACCTTTAAGAGAAACCCTAAGAGTCACTCATCTCTCTGGGCTTCCTGCCTAAGGATCAACCGCCTCATGCTTCTGCCCCAGGCCAGCCCCACTATGTTGAACTGTGCCCTCAAACCATGAACCAAAATGAGCTGGGGTGCTCACCACCAGCCTGCGGCTAACACAGAAGAGAGAATCACAGAGAAATGGCTGCCGAGGCCAGGCACCTTATGACTGGGCACACAGGGCATACTGGGCCCTTGGGCCATCAGAAGACTAAGCAGGGTCTGGTAGCACATGCCTGGAATTCTAGTTTCTCAGGAGGCCAAGGGTGGAGGGGTCCAAGTTCAAGGTCAACCTGGGAAACTTCGTGAGATTCTGCCTCAAAATAGAAGTAAAATTAGAGCTGGGATATATTTAGCTCAGTGGTGGGGTGCTGGCCTGGCATGTATGAGGCCCTAATTCCCTGGTACCATAGGAGGCTGGGTGGCAGGGAAGGAATAAATGTCATGGTTCAAATGATGTCTGTTTAAAGACCAGGTGCATTTCAAGGTGGTATGGCCATAAACAATGGATATCTGTTAGGTATTAGGAGGAAATGGTAAGTGACCAGGGAAACTAGCACAAAGCGGTTCCTTCTCTGTCAGAAGTACAGATGAAAAGGACCAGACAGACACCGTGGGATAAGCGTTGGGGAATGAAAAGATATAGGGTACCAAAGCGATCACCACAAAGAACCCAAGGGCTTGATGAAAATGATAACACTTCTGGCCAACAGAGGAACAGGCAGGAGGAGGGTGTGCATGAAAAGCCCCATTCCTTGGTGAGGCACCAGAAGGAAACCAGCTAGGAGATCAAGGCAGATCCGCATTGTCCATCAGGTAGTCACTAGATACACCCGCCTTAGTGTGCTTTCAAACTGGCCTGGGCCGTAACACGCCATACATTTCCACATCTTAGCAATGGAGGCTAACAAGGTTGGGAAGGAACAATGGGACCCAGAGATGGTGAGTTGCAGGATCCATTGGTGTCCCTTGGTCCTCTCACCGATCGCCCAGCCTATGGACATAGAGGATCCCTAGGCCTCAAGGTAGTTGGATGTTGATCATGGTTGTACCTGACAAGTGTCTGCTTCTTATCACTCTCACAATAATCTCCACTCTCCTCGGTGCCACTTACCGCCTTGTCCCGAGAGACCTTCTTGAAGATGACGTGGGACTTATTGGTCTTCACGTTGGCCGCCATGTTGTCTGTCCCTTGGGATGTATGTCAGGTTGGAGGGCTGGGAAAGTACAGTGATCCCAAACATAAAATTAAGACCATTCTGGATGTAAAGCCCACTCCTGAGTCTTCCTCCCTTGGATATTCCCTTGCACGAGCTCCAGTTTGATCAAAGCAGCTGATTGGTTGGACTTCACTGTGGCATGCCTTAAAAATTTTTATTTATTTCATTTTTATTTATGTGTATGTGTGCCACATGTGTACAAATGCCTACAGAGACCAGAAGAGGGTGTCGGATCCCTCGGAGCTAGAGCTGTAACCTCCCGACCTGGGTGCCGGGAGCCAAACTCACGTCCTCTGGAAGAGCAGCAAGCACTCACAACCTCTGAGCCATTTCTCCAGCACCAGTACTTCCACCCTTGAAACTGAGTCTCACTGAATAGCCCAGGGTTGGCCTGAAACTCACTCTGTAGATCAGGCTGGCCTCAAAATCATAGAGATCCATCTCCCTCTGCCTCCGGAGTGCTTGGATTAAAGGAACGTGCCATCACGCCTGGCCCAGTGTATATCTTGGTAAGCTTCAAATATTCCAGTAAGCCTCACCAGCTTGATTCTAATGAAGCTTTGCTTTTTTGGATTAAATATCAGTGTCATGTTCTTGTTGGGTTACATCTGAAACGCTGTCATGCCAGGTGTGGTGACTCCTACCTATGTATCATCTCAGCACTCGAGAGACAGAGCTAGGTTGCAGAGAATCTGAGGCCAGCCTGGTCTACATAGCGAGTTCCAGGGCAGCCAGGGTTACATAGGAAAGACTCTGTCTCAAACAAAGAAAGCTTTCTCATGAATAGACCCTTTCTTCTCTTTTCTTCTTCTCCCTCCTCCTCCTCTTGTCTTATTATGTGGGCCAGGTTGGCCTCAAACTGGCAATCCTCCTGCCTGGTGTCAGGATTACAGGAGTGGTTCACCACACCTCACTTTTCTGTGCCTTATGGTAAGCATACAGAAAATGTCTCTGAAACACACCCCAACGGGACTGCTCCCCAAATGCAGTTGTCAGGGGCGTATGAGAACCCCACAGTTCCAACATATTTGTTCCCTCTCCTCTGTCTGGCAGATAGTCAGGCCATCTCATGGTCTAGGATGAAATGCCCTCCAAGTTTCTTTTCCAAGCAAAGTTCTATGGAAGCCAGAGGTAACAACCCCCAGCATTTTGCCTTGCAGAAGCATGTCTGTCCTTGTTGCTCCCTGGGTCCCCAGGCTTCTGAGGATGCTTGGGTTTGGCTCTCACTTACCTTGTGACTTGTCACCAGCTGGGATAGCCAGGGAGGTCAGGAGAGTGTCCCCGCGTTTCCGGATGGTGAGCAGTCAGCCTCTGCTCTGAGGCAACTGGTGAAGTCCCTCCAGGTGACCCCACAGGGCAAGGGTGAGGCCCCTGCCTGCCACGTAGGGGAATTTGTAGGGCTCTGTGGGGATGACCAGCACTGAGGTCTCAGTGTCTAAGAGCCAAATCAGATTTGAAGAGCAGGGAGGAGAGTGGATTAGTGCAGTGGCAGATTGGCTATTTCAGCAGTTCTCAGCATTAGCTTGGGAGCTCCAGACTTCAAGAGGATCCCAAAGACGCACGAGCCATCCAGCTGGCCCGGGGAAGGTACAGCAGGAGGAACAGCTAATTAAGAGCTATTTATTTATTTTTAATTCTAAACCTCTTTGGGTTCTGGAAATAGACAGCTTATCTCTTTACTCCTCAACATCATCAGGAAGGGGGATGTTCGAGTGACAGACGTGATTAAGCTCAGCAGGCATCAAGGGATTATGTGAAGGAAAAGGTCAAGGAGGAAGGTCAACCTGGGGCTGAGCTGCACTGAGCTGCACATGTCCCTCTTATTCACTCCACATCAAGAGTCCTATTTGGCCTCTGTCTTTCTCCATCTTTACATGTCTAGTATGGGTTCACACACTACCCGGGCTCCTCTGGGCAGTAACGAGCCCACATCTGATGGGCATTCATCTCTACTTTCCAGACCCTTCTCCACACCCAGTGTAGACTGTCTTAGCCCTGACCCATCAATTCCCCTGCTGGGAGGAGTTCCTGTCACTCTTGCATGTAGACATGCGTGAGCCCTCTACCTGGGTCCTTCCAAGTTTGATCAGATGTCATGTCCTCAAATGACGTCCTCCCAGGCACCAGGACAGCTACCATTCTCCCTTATGAGTGGCTTCTCTTCCTTATTAGACTCCGACCTGCAAGGCAGAGCGCCCATGACTTGGCGTTTCCCTCACTTTGTGTATGGATGTGTGACTCTACACTCCCCCAAACCCTCAGGGAATGAAAATCTGGAAAGCTCTGGACACTACCTCATCTATATAATGGGTTTCACTCTAGAAATAAAACAGTAGCAACAGAAGGCTTGTTGTGATACCGGGGTGTCAGTATCTGTCCCCCAGTCTGGTGGCTTTCAAGCCCTCCTGGATAGTACCTGCCTTCTTTCTCAACATTCTGCCCACCAGCCACTGTCCAATCTGCTGGCCTCCCTTGATTTCTGTAAACCTGTCTCTCCCCTTCCCGTGTCTTGTTGCTGCTGCTGCTCCTCCTCAGCCCCCAGCACACACAACCAAAGGTGTACCTGGGACTCCCTACTCTGAGCAAGTCAAGTTCCTGGACTGCAGCAGTGACAGCCATGAGTCAGTGAAGTAGTTACCATGGTGATGGATTCGCTGATAGGATTTTCATATATCTGTCTCTCTGCTTCATTTTAGTTCATTCCCTGTCCCCTATAAACTCACAGATCTTTTCATTTCCAAGTGCAAAATAGTTATTTGTATTATTTGAGATAGGATCATGTTTATGTCCCTTGGGTTGGCTTACAATTCATACTCCTTCTATCTCAGAAGCTTGAGTCCAAATATTTTTTTTCTCATTTTGAGACAGGTCTCACTATATCACTCTGGCCTGTCTAGAACTCTCAAGAGGCTGGCCTTGAACTCAGAGTCTATCTGCCTCTGCCTCCTTGGTGCTGGAATTACAAGTGAGCACCACCACACCTGGTACAAGTTTTCAGAGATGTATTTTTACTTTCGTTATGAGTGTGTTGTCTGCATATATGCACATCATGTACTTGCTTGCCTAGACCTGAAGAGGGTGCCCAGTCCCCTAGGATTGGAATTAGAGATGGTTGTGAACCTCTACCTGAGTCCTGAGAACTGAACCCAGGTCCTTCCCATGAGTTAACTACTAAGCCATGTCTCTAGCCCCAACATGGTCTTTTAAAAATTATTTCTTTATGTGTATGTGTATGCTGTGATGCATGTCTGTATATCACATGTACTTTCAGAGAACAGAAAAGGGCGCAGAATCCCCTAGAACCAGAGTTACAGTTGTGAGCCTCCACGTGGATGCTGGGAATCAAACCCGGATCCTCTGCAAAGGCAATCAGTGTTCCTAACGACTGAGCTAGCTCTCTAGTTTGTCCCGACATTTTTGTTTGTTTTATTTTTCAAGACAGAGTTTCTCTGTATAGCTTTGGAGTCTGTCCTGGAACTCACTCTGTAGACCAGGCTGGCCTTGAACTCACAGAGCTCTGCCTACCTCTGCCTGACCAAGTGCTGGGAATAAAGGCGTGCACCACCACCACCTGGTCCAACTTTTTTTTTTTTAAACATCTGAATGCCAGCTAACAAATGTAGAAGGAATGATAAAAGAAAACATTATCTAACAAAATGCTATTGTAAATCCTATTTTTTAGGTTTTTTCTTTCCCCCCTGGCCTGGAACTCATGGCAATCCTCCTGCTCTAGCCTCCCGAGTACTGGGATTATAGGTGTGCGCCACCAACCCTGACTAGTTTCTGCAGCTGGGACACGGCAGGCCCTGGAAAGATTGCTCTTCTTCTAGAGAGATACAGTACAAATCCTGGCTTCCTAGTGCTTCTAACCCAGAACATATTCCTAACCCCCACCCTCTGGCTTCATTTTTCTGACAGGGGGTCTCTCATCTAATTCGGGCTGTCCTTGAACTCCTGATCCTCCTGTCTTACCTGGAGGGCTAGCAGTATAATCCTATACCTTCATGCTTCCTCAGACCCTAACCCTTTTATCAAGGATGTTATATTTCAGGCCCTGATCTGCCCTAATCACAGCTAGAGACATCTCCTGCTCTCCAGATCCTGTGTGGCTGGTCTTCCTGTCATTTCCATGGAAACGGCAAAAAGATTATTGCCATGGTTTCCTCTCACTCCCTGGTCAACCTTAGCATTCCGCAGTGTGGTTCTGCGTAGTGTGGCATGCAAATGACAAATTTCCTTATGGTAGAGTTACATCCCCATCTTTCGGCTTCACCATACCTGAATGATAGTAAACCTTACATCTTGAAACTCTAGGACTAGTCATTGGTCTTTAAGCAGTCGGGTGATGTGAGGGAATGAAGCCCCTTTAGTACAAGGTGATGTATATGGATCTCTGTTCCAACTGCATATGAGGTATCACCTTGGATTAGCCCGAATCAATGAAGTCTTTAGATCCTATTTATGATCAAAAGAGAGACGTGTTCAATTAAAATGCAGTTAAGGACTCAACATTCATGTGTAATGTGTGACCCTGGATTGGATATTCAATTGCGTAAGTGGGGTGCACAGACATTTTGGATGAACTGGGGAAATGTGAAAATGGCTGAGATGAGAATTGCTAGAATAGAGGCCAGCAGATATCTCAGTGGGTTGAGGTGCTTGCTATGCAAACCTGATGGTGACCTGAGTTCAATCCCTGGATCCCATGGGGCAGGGGGAGAATCTGCTCCCCAACGCTGCATGAGTTTTGGCACATGCAGGAGGACAAGTATGAATCCTTATTAGAAACCAAAAATGGGGGCTAGAAAGATGTCTCAGCAGTTAAGATGACTTGAGTTCAGTTCCGAGTACCCACATGGGGGCTCACAGTCCCCGGCATTTTCTTCTGATCTCTACCAACACCAGGCATGGACATGGTACACATCTACCATACCCATGCACAAAACATTCAGATACATTA